CACACACACACACACACACACACCCTCAGGTCTGCTATTCCCATCTGACGTGCCATCCCGTTTTACCAGACAGATTTATCGGTGGATATGAGCCAATCATTTTTAATTCAAGTTTGATCAGTCTTTCAGTATAAATATAATTAGTTTATAATTATAATTATGCGTCATCCCTCCTTTCCTCTGTCCAGGTTCTTTGTTGTGGAGGATCACGTTCTTCACACCACGCACGGTTTGGTCAACAGAGCGTACGTCGAGGAGCTGTGGGAGCTGGCGCTGTCCAAAATAGTTGCCGCCCTGAGGACACACTCAGTAAGACAAGTCCTTTGCTTGAGCCGCTTTCAGACATGAACGCGGGACATTTTCTGTCGTTAAGGAAAGAAACAAAACACAACTGACCCTCTCCTCTGTTTGCTCAGTCGTACTGTGACGACCCCGACCTTGTGCTGGACCTGAAGAACCTTATCGTCCTCTTTGCTGATACACTGCAGGTATATATGTGTGTGTGTGTGTGTGTGTGAGAAGCATTGTTCAGGTTACACTGTAAAAGGAAGGAAGGTGTTGCAGCCCTGGTCATCATCACGTATGAAATGATTCAGCTTTTTTATTTCTGTTGGGGAGTCTCGACCCAGCTCTGTTACCCAGGAGACCCTTATCCAGTGTTCTGAAAATGAACAGATGCCAATCTCTCCAGAAAAATCTTTTTCTTAATGTCGAGCTCGGCTTCATCGTCTGATGTCAGTTCGCTCTCCATAAATGTCTTCGCTGCTCGTATGAACTAACCTGGATGGATTGAGTGTGAGGGATGAGTGGATGGAGGGATGGAGGGGAGAAAGAGGGGATGTGGGTGAAAACCGGGATGGAGATGAGTGATTGAGATGAAGAGGAGGAGCCGATGAAGGGTTGGTACGGTGCCCAAAAGTGTTTCCCGTGAAGTGATGAGGTGTAACAGAATGTCTGAATTCACTTTTTGTCTCTTCCACACGTGTTTTAATCCTTTTAGACCGAGATTTTGTTCCGTTTTGGATTCGTTTTCATTTCAGACTCATAAATGTACTTTTAAAACCATAAAAAGATGTTTTTCTTGATCAGTGTTTGAAAAAAGAAGTAATTTAAAGCAGTGACGGTTGATTTCCTATCCACATGTCATGCTGTCGATATGATTTAATGGGTCTCTTTTTCGACATTCCCTTTCTCCTTCGTAACACGAAGTCCGATGCCTTTTATTATTCTACTCGTTCCTTAAATTTGCTTTAGGGGATAAATCAATAAATCGTCATTCGACTTTGGCTGCGCTCGTGCTCATCTGTGGAGATCGAACTATGTCCACACAAGCGTTTCACCTCCACGTCAGTAAACGACTCAGTGACAGTGACAATGCAAACCTCTTCGTTCAAGATGCTTAAAAACTTTGCACTGACTCTGCTTCTCTCTGCCGCAGGGTTACGGTTTCCCGGTCACACAGCTGTTCGACATGCTGCTGGAGATAAGGGAGCAGTACGGCGAAATCCTGCTCAAGAGGTGGAACATCGCCTTCAGGTACCGATTCGCTAAAAGACGACGGAGCCTCGCTGTTCCATAGAGAGAGAGAGAGAGAGATGAGGGGAACGTCAGGGCGATGCTCCTGTTTTTCAGTAGCTGAGGGGTTTTTCTGAGTGCACGCCGCCCTGACCTTCCCCTTTCTTGTCTTAAGGTCACGAGGGCGCACCATGACAAACACATACATACACACCAGTGTTGGTTTGTGGGAAATGTCCCCCGTCCTGGTTTTGAAGTTTAACAAGCGGCCAGAGAGAGGAAGTGTTTAAAAGCAAACGTCCGGAACATTTTCTGCCCTTCAGAATGGGTACCCTTACAAGAAACTGTGTGTGTGTGTGTGTGTGTGTGTGTGTGTGCTTACATGCCATTGTTTCACCATCGCTTTGGTCCAATGACACCAGTGGGACTTGCAGTAGCAAGAGCGGACAAACAAACTCTCACTCCCTCTCTCCTTAACCCCCCCAACACACACACACACACACACACACACACACACACACACACACACACACACACACACACACACTGGGGAAGCCGCAGGAATGTTGTGTTGTATTGTTGGAGAGAGAGCGCTCTCCGGTTCACGGCCTCTCCATGGAACGTTGGAACGTCCGAACTCTGGAGTGCCAACAAGAAGTGGGGGGGGGGGGGGGGGTAAGGAAGGTGGCAAGAAAACCACAAGCACTGGGTGTGTGTTTCTACTTTATGTTTGTATGTACTTGTGTGTGTGTGTGTGTGTGTGTGTGTATTAATCTTTTTTTTTTCTTGTAATTCTTTTCCTGTGGTCTTTCTCCTCTTCAGGCAGGTGTTGGATCAAGATAACTTCAGTCCAATCCCAGTGTCAACAGAGCAAGAGTACAGACACTACACTTCCCAGTTTCCCCTGCAAGACCCTGAACTGGATAAGGTAGAACGGCACTCGGTTGAACACACACACACACACACACACACACACACACACACA